AGGAGGAGGAGGAGGAGGAGGAGGAGGACGAGGAGGAGGAGGACGAGGAGCCCTCCTTCATACATGTCCATGTACTGGGGGCTGCCCAGTTTGTCACAGGCCCAGTTTGGTGGTTCAGAGATAATCCCTCTAAAATGTCAATTCAGCGTGTGTTGTTCAGTATTTCTTCCTTTTTGTATGCAAATCAAAGCAAATTTAAATTACTCTGTAAAATTTCAACAATGAATGTTCTTTCCTTAAAAACAATTGAAAAAAAAATTCAATTCATACAATTAATCAATCATTAATTTACTCTTTTGGAGAGGGTCAGTGATAACCTCCATCATGCAGGGCATAGTCAAGGCCTGTGACAAACTGGTATTCTTCCCATGTACTTACCCCCAGAAGGTGAAGCAGTGTGCAGCAGTGACCACCACAGAAGGAGATAAGATGGCTCCTCCACATATATGTACCCATCGCCTCCTGGAGTACACCTACCCACAGTGACAAGTTTCGTTTTAGTTTTAGTAAGAGATATACGGCACTTGCAAGACAATAAGTTCATATAAGTGCCCGAAGATTAGAGGTGTTACAAGAGAGTAACAAACACAAAAAAGAAGGAGGGGAGATAAAGACAATAGATATTTGATAGGAAATAAGAAGCAAACCACACCAAAGCACCCGCCAACCACCCACTGACAAGTTTTGAGACGTAATCTTATCCTACAATCGAACAATCTAAGGTGGCCACCCATGAAATAGTGCTACCCAGAATCATAAAATTCTATCTGCTCAGTACCTAGTTTTGAGAAATTTGACCTAAAACACAATGAGTTTCACAAAATTTAAAGCTTTTCCGAATGGAATTCTTGGAATAATATCTTGATAAAGACTCGGAAAAAACTTACAATTTTAATAAAAACAGACAGGGCATTTGATTTCTGACCTCATGGTCTTAGTAACTCAGACAACAGCCAAAAATGTCAGATAGAAACGTGACCTTCGTATTTTGTAAGAATAGACATAGGAGGAAATAGGAAGGGACCATTTGTACAAGTGATTGTCCTATACAGGTGGCCCTCAGAGCAGGTTCGACTGTGTTTCATAACTCAAAGTAAGGTCTTAATTTACTCTCTCTCTCTCTCTCTCTCTCTCACACACACACACACACACACACACACACACACACACACAGACAGACAGACAGACAGACAGACAGACAGACAGACAGACAGACTGACAGACAGATGCGCACGCCCTCACGCACACTCTCACATGCAGACGAACAACCATATTACCTCACTCACAAACGCACAGTAACATGCCTCTAGGCTCCTGACTCTCTCTGCAGCATTTCTACTGCTACTCCTGGGCTCCTTCTTACTGCTGTCTTTCAACCACACCCCTGATCTTATGGTAGGCGAGAACTACTCCTAGCCTTTTAGGGAAAGGGTGAAAAATCTCAGAGGTCCCGTATGCGAGTTGCGCTCGTTAAAGATCCCTCGGTGGTCCAAAATCGATAAGAGTAGGCTTCGGCCGCCACCCGGACAAAAGTCAAAATTTCCTACCAACAAAATAATAATAATGAATGTGTTCCGGGCGCTCATAATTATGACCTTAAGCAGTTGCGAATGCAGTCACC